ACCAACTCAATGGCACTTAACAACAACAACAATTATAGCATAAAGTTGCTCGTGGGTAAAACAAAATGCATTCTTAAATGTATAAGTTTATATGCAGAATTAAACCATGGAATCGATTTTATAAATAAGCTGGCTGCCAGAGGCTTGAATATATGGAAGACTGCCAATAGGGAAGTTAGTGAGGAAACTTGCTGATTCTCTGGAAATAATGTCAGAGTGCCTTCTTCACACAGAAAACTGTCCTTAGAGGTTAGTTTTTAGAAAAGGTTGGTTAAATGAGGAGCCTAGTAAGGAAAAAAAAATATGAAAGCACGTGAGTATTTATGATTCTTTTTATTATATTCTTATCAGAAACATTCAGGCTAAAATTATTTTTCATTTTTCCATTTCCTTTATGAAATGCCTTTGCTGAGATAAGAATTATGGAAAGAAAATAAAGCAAAACCTCTTTGTGGTTGGGTTGGAAAACAGAAATAGGTCACCATTTTTTTCTGACCATTGGCTATTTTTAAGTTTCTAAGATTAGTATAAGGAGCCCCGGTAGTATAGTGGATTACGAGCTGGGCTGCTAACTGCAAGGTCAGCAGTTCGACAATACCAATCACACTGTAGGAGAAAGATGAGGCTTCCTACTCCAGTAAAGATTTATGACCTTGGAAACCCTGTACAGGGTGCCTATGAGTTAGTTGGGACTAAGTCTGTGGTACACAACCACCACCACCACCACCACCAAGATTAGTGTAACAAAGCATTTAAAAAAACCCCAAACAAACAAACACAAATGTTTGTGGTTGAGTTGGAAAACAGAAATAGGTCACCATTTTTTCTGACCATTGGCTATTTTTGAGTTACTAAGATTAGGAGTCCTGGCGTGGTGCTGTGGGTTAATGCGCCAGACTGCAAAGCTGTTTGAACTGCAAAGTCGGCAGTTCAAGCTCATCAGCTGCTCCTCGGAAACCCTATACAGGGTCGCTATGGGTCAGAACCGACTCAACAGTATTTAACAGCAACAACAAGAGCCCGGGTAGTGCAGTGGATTACGAGCTGGATCCCCACCAAAAAAGCAAAAAGGGAATTCTCAGTGCTTCCTTAAATATGAAAGACTGACCTGTTGCTAACTCCTTTATTATCTATATATTTCTGTTATCTTTAGTATTTGTAAATATCAAAGGAAATCAAGCCTTAGTAAGTAATACTGACCAAACGCACTGCCACTGAGTGGATTCTAACTTATAACAACCCTATTGTTATTGTTGTTGTGAAGTGCATTTGAGTCCGTTCTAAGCTATAGTGACCCCGTATAGGGTTTCCGAGGAGTGGTTGGTGAGCTTGAATAACCTACTTTGTGGTTCAAACCAACACTGCAGTCCAGTGTATTAGCCCACAGCACCAACCCTATTGTTGTTGCTGTTAAGTGCTGTCAAGTCGACTCCGACCCATAGTGACCCTGCATAGGGTTTCTAAGGAGCAGCTGGTGAGCTTGAGCCACTGACGTTGCAGTTTAAACGACTTTGCAGTCTGATGCATTAGCCCACAGCGCCACACCAGGACTCCTATAGGACATAGTAAAACTGCCCATTTGGGTTTCTGAGACCTTAAATCTTTACAGAAGCAGTCAGTTTTCTCTTTCTCCTGCAGAGCGGCTGACAGGTTGAAATTGCTGACCTTGTGGTTAGCAGCCCAATGTGTAACCTATTGTTGTTGTTGTTGTTGTGTGCCATCGAGTCGGTTCCGACCCATAGCGACCCTGTACAGGGTTTCCGAGGGTGTAAATCCTTACGGGAGTAGAAAGCCTCATCTTTCTCCCGCGGAGCAGCTGGTAGTTTCGAACCTCTGACCTTTAGGTTCACAGCCCGATTCGTAACCACTACGCTACCAGAGCTCCTTTGTGTAACCTATTAGCTACCTTAATATATAATATTACCTTAAATTATATTCCCTAACTATTTGTATACAAACAGCTTGGGAGTGAAGACTGATGTAACACCATCTGATAGTGAGATTAAAAAATGTTTCTATAAGCAAAACCACATAATAGGCAAATGTTCTTGTTGAGGTGTTTGGCATCAGCAATTGAAGAAAACAGGAAAATGGTAGGAACTTGGTTAAGGAACAACCCCCAAGTCATGGAAATGGCTGGAAAAATGAATAACAGTAACAGTGGACTCTTGGGCATGGCTTCAGGTATATTAGTCTAATTTAGTAAAAGATTCTCTCATATTCACTGTTCGTATATTTACAGGAAGATAGCAGGGCGGTGGGTCAAAGGCATCAACTATGGTTTGAATACTGATTCTACATTTACCTGCTGTGTAACCTTAAGTAAGTTATTTAACCTCTCTGTACCTGAGTGTTTCATCTATAAAATAGGAGTTCATATGAGGATTAAATTTGTTAATATTTATAAAACACCTAGCTTGGAGTCTGGAACATAGAAAACATTATGAAAGTGTTTGTTAAATAAAATAAACCACTGACCAAATATTTTCGAACAACTGTACTTTAAAAACTCTAATTTTAATTAGAATGTGGTATGCCTAGTTCAAAATAGTCACATGAGAAATCTGAAAAAAAAAAAAAAAAACAACCCATGGAGTTTTCAAGCATTTATTTCACACTCAGAATTAAAATGCACTTATATCTCATGCCCTTTATCACGTTATTTATCTATGTTTGCATGCTTAGAACTATAGTCAGATGTACTCTGTACTTTCAATGTTTTATCTATTTTTGCTTATTTAAAATGTGTGTGGACAATCTTCCATCTGAAAAGCAAGAGGGGACTTCAAAATTCAGCTTACCTTTCAGCTCTGTCATTTGCGTTTAAGACCTAAGAGTTGGGTGGTGGCTGTGGGTGGTGGCTGTGAAACTGGTTCTTTCAACATAACAGTGTCAACTAAATAAGAAAAACCATGTCAGCAAGTGACAGCTTCAATTACCAGTTTGCTCAGCCACCACCACTCTACTCGGCAGTTTTACTATTTATAAAAATCAAAGAGTCAAACATAGTGTGACACAGCCCCCCAGGGCAACAGAGATGTTTCAGAAGTAGAGGGGGCAGGACTAGGAGTAGCATGTTACAGTTATTTTCTGTGGAATTTAAAGTCAAGGCAGGATCTGTACACAGGAGAATAGATCAGCAGGGAAAAGAGCTAGTGGCTGGGTCAGCTGAGGGCAACAGAGATGAGGGCATCATCTGGGGAAGACTCTTCTGGGTGGCAGAAAGAAATGTGAATTCATGACCTTCTTTTATCTTCTATTTATGTATTTTGATCTACAGCTTCAAATACCTATATGACTATAGAAATTCATGAACATGTTAAAAATGCAATATAATATCTCTACTTAAACACAATCAGTACTTTTAGTACAAATATGTTATTTTTGTTAACTTGGGATAAAAAGCCTCAGATTGGCAAAGGTACAGTCTAAATCTGAGCTGGTTACGGCTATTGGCCTACTGGTTCAATAACCATTTGTTGGATTAGTTAAATATGCTGATGAATTTCCTCTTCATTTTCTCTGATGAGTGAAATTACTGAAATTAGCAAGACTCTAAAAGTCAGGGCATCGTTTAACTGTAGTACTGCTTTTTTTCAGAGTATGAATGTTTCAATAATGAATAAAGTCAATAGCAGTATTCATGATCCTTTTTAAATATTGTAACTTTGGAGACTGCTACCCTGGCTTATAAACAGAAATTACATGATGCTGCTTTGCAAGAAACTGTTTTATATTTGCACATTTGTTGTTGTTGTTAAGTGCTGTTGAGTCAATTCTGACTCATAGTGACTATGCATAGGGTTTCCGAGGAACAACTGATAAATTTGAACCAAACGACAACCAAGTTCAAATTGAACTTGCAATCCAGGGCTTATCCTACAGAACCACACCAGGACGCCTTATTTGCACATTTGTTGTTGTTATTATTAAGTGCCATCAAGTCAGTTCTGACTCATTGTGACCCTGTAAACGGTTTTGAAGGAGCAGCTGTGGGTCTGAACTGCTGACCTTGTGGTTTGTAGCCCACTGCGGATCCTGCAGCTCCACACTAGGAGTCCTATTTACAACAATTCCCAATTGTTGTTATTAAGAGTACTTCTTAACAAATCAAATTTCAATGAGCCAGAGAAAGAACTAAAGTGAGAGTCATATACACTATCAGGAGTATCAGTCTTTGACCTAGAAACTAAACATTTTCTCTTTTTATTTACTCTCTCTTTGTGTCTGTTCCTGTTTCCTTCCTTATTAATTGGAGATATGTTGTTAAATGACTTCAAGTCAGTTGCGATTCATAGCGACCCTGTCTATGGTTTCTAAGGAGTGATTGGTGGGCTTGAACCACATCGACCTTGCAGTTAGCAGTTTAGTGCTTACCCTACAGTGCCACACCATGAGATAGATCAGTCAGCATAACAAAGTCCCTGTCCTCATGGAGAAGCAACAAAAGATCAAACAAACCAATAGTTAAATAACATGATTTCAGTTAGTGAGACATGGAAAACTAATGTACTGGGATAGAGTGACTAGGTGGTGGAGGGAGTGGGCAGATAGCACCTTTGGAGTTCAAGGACAACATCCAACTGTCTGAAGTAAGGGAAGAAGTCAGGCATGTAGGATCTGGTAGTAGAAACATGCACAAAGAATGGTTAAGAACTGATATTTCTGCTTCAAAATTTATCTTCCTTCCAGAGCAAATTCTCCTTTTCTCCAAACGCAGCCCCAGTTTTGTTATAACACATTCTTCACCTCTGGTACCTAGCACAGGCCTGGAAGAGAGTTGGAGTTCAGCAAAAGAATGACTATAGACGATCTCTGTGAACCATCACTGCTCCTTCAAGGTCTAAACCGTCTATCATGGCTATGACCTGAGATACAAACAAAGGTTCTTAAAATCACTGGCACCAAAATAGGAGGTCTGTTCCTAATGCCACTTGGTTAATCTTTTATTGATACTGAACTGGACCCTTGGTCCAGTTGGTGTCAAGTTGGTGACTTACCATGCCCAGTGTATTCAAAAGAGTCGGCTTCATCAGGGGTGTCGAGTTCGTCCACATTGATGTCAATTTCATCTGGACTGTCTAGGTTGTCATCAGAGAGAACTGATCCTTCACTCTGATCCAGAGAAAGGTTGATATTTGGTGCTGTCAGCTTGATTCTCTGAGTATGAATGCCATTAAGATTCAGAGAACTAGGAGGTTCTAAAGAGAAAAAAGAATGGCAACATTAAGTATTAGGCTGTGCACATGCCTGTAAAGTGCAGGCCTGGGCCCCAATGAATAACATTTCAAAGACCCTTCCAGAAAAGTTACCCAAACCAAAAACCACTGCTGTCAAGTTGATTCTGACTCATGTTGTTGTTATTAGGTGTCATCAAGTTGGCTCTGGCTCATAGCAACCCTATGCACAACACTGCTCAGTTCTGCACGATCCTTACAATTGTTGCTGTGCTTGAGCCCATTATTGCTGCCAACAGCAAAACAGGTAAGATGGAGTCTATCCATCTTGTTGGCAATCTTCCTCTTTTTTGCTGACCCTCCACTTTTCCAATCATGACGGCTTCCAGGGACTGATCCCTCCTGACATGTCCAAATTATGAGAAAGTCTAGCTGTCATCTCCCTTCTAAGGAGTATTCTGGCTGTTCTTCTAAAACAGATTTGTTTGTTCTTCTGGTAGTTTGTGATACTTTCAATATTCTTCACCGAAACCACAATTCGAATGCATCAATTCTTCTACAGTCTTCCTTATTCATTGTCCTACTTTCACACACATATGAGGTTACTGAAAATGTCATGGCTTGGGTCAGGTCTACCTTAGTCCTCAAACTGACATATTTGTTATTGAACAATTTAAGGAGGTCTTTTGCAGCAGATTTTCCTAATGCAATGTGTCCTTTGATTTTTGATGGCTGCTTCCATGAGTAGATTGTGCATCCAAGCAAACTGAAGTTTTTAACAACTTCAGTGTTTTCACCATTTATCATGTCATTTACTGGTCCAGTTGTGAGGATTTTTGCTTTCTTTACCTTAAGGTATGATCTATACTGAAAACTGTAGTCTTTGATCTTCATCAGTATTTTAAGCCATCTTTGCTTCCAGAAAGTAAGGTTGTGTCATCTGTGTATCACAGGTTGTTAATGCCATGTTCCAATCCCAATACCATGTTCTTCTTCATATAATCCAATTTCTCAGATTACTGTTCAGCATACAAATTGAATATGTATGGTGAAAGGATGCAACTCTGATGCACACCTTTCCTGATTTTAAACCATTCAGTATCCCTTTGTTCTGTTTTAATGGCTACCTCTTGGTCTATGTACCTTTTCCTCATGAATACAATTAAGTGTTCTGAAATACCCATTGTCCATAATGTTATCCAGTGTGTTATGATCCATACAATCAAATGGCTTTTCATAGTCAGTAAAGCACAAGTAAGCATCTTTATGATTATTCTCTACTTTAAGATGCGATCCAGCTGACGTCACCAATGATACCCCTCTTTCCAAGTCCTCTTCTGAATCTGGCTTGAATTTCTGGCAGCTCCCTGTCCATGTACTGCTACAATCATTTTTAAATTATCTTCATCAAAATTTTACTTGCATGTGATATTAATGGTATTGTTTCATACTTTCTGCATTCTGTTGGGTCACCTTTCTTTGGAATGGGCATAAATGGATGTTTTTCCAATCAGTTGACATGGCCTTCCAAATTTCTTGACATAGACAAGTGAGTCCCTCCAGTACTCTATCAAATTGTATTCTGTCAATTCCTGGAGCCTTACTTTTCACCAATGCCTTCATTGAAGCTTGGGCTTCTTACTTCAATACCAATAGTTCTTAACCATATGGTACCTCTTGAAATGACTGAACATCAATTATTTTTGGTACAGTGAAACTGTGTTCCTTCCATCTTTTCATGCTTCCATCACCATTCAATATTTTGCCCATGTTGTTTTTGTTGTTGTTGTTAAGTGCCGTCGAGTTGATTCCGACCCATAGCGACCCTGTACAGGGTTTCCGAGGCTGTAAATCTTTACAGGAGCAGAACGCCTCATCTTTCTCCCACGGAACAGCTGGTAGTTTTGAACGGCTGACCTTGCGGTTCGCAGCCCGATTCGTAACCACTATGCTACCAGAGCTCCTTTGCCCATAGAATCCTTCAAAATTGCAACCTGAAGTTTGACATTTTTCTTCAGTTCTTTCAACCTGAGAAATGCTAAGTGTGTTCTTTCCTTTTGGTTTTTTAACTCCAGTTCTTTGTGCATCTCATTATAATATTTGACTTTGTCTTCTTAAACTGCCCTTTGAATTTTTCTGTTCAGCTATTGTTGTTGTTGTGTGCCATCGAGTCGGTTCCGACCCATAGCGACCCGGTACAGGGTTTCCGAGGCTGTAAATCTTTACAGGAGCAGAACGCCTCATCTTTCTCCCACGGAACAGCTGGTAGTTTTGAACGGCTGACCTTGCGGTTCGCAGCCCGATTCGTAACCACTACGCTACCAGAGCTCCTAAGCTATTATTTCATCATTTATTCCAGTCACTTTAACTTCTCTATGCTCAAGAGCAAGTTTCAGAGTCTCTTCGGACATACACTTTGGTCTTTTCTTTCTTTTTAATGAACTTTTGCTTTCTTCATGTATGACACTCCTGACATCACTGCATAACTGTTCTTTTCTTTGGTCACTGGTGTCCAACGCATCAAGTCTGTTCTTCAGATGGTCTCTAAATGCAGTATGGGATATACTCAAGATCCTATTTTGGCTCTCGTGGATTTAATCTTCTTCATCTTCACCCTGATCTTGCATATGAGCAACTGATGGTCTGTTCCACAGTTGACTGCTGGCCTTGTTTTGACAGACGATCTCGAGTTTCTTCTCTGTCGTCTTTTCCCACCGTTTCATGTGGTCTGTTAGTCCTTTGGACTATTTCTTATGCCAATATTGCTCGACTATGGTTTGAACATCATAAATGATAATCTTCTTATATCAAGGCTCATGGGAGGAGTTCCCACCTTTTCATTATAGTATGCATCTTGTTGTCCATGCGCCGTCCTTTCATTGACTAGAAGCAGTGCTAGAGAAATTTTAATTTCTCCAATTAATTTCTTTTTGAACCAGTCCATATCAACTAAACAAAAGTAGAAAGAGAAATAGACTAAAAACAGAATTCATAGGATTCCTGAGCAAGAAGTACTTTGAAAGTCATCTGTTATAGTCCTTAACTCCAGATTTTCAACTCTGGTCTTTTCTTAAGCACCTTGACACATTGACACTGGTCCTTTGTCATTAAGATTTTTTAATTTTTAAACTAGAATATCACCCAAGCTGTGTTCCATATAATGTTATAATTTTTAATGAGTTACTTGAAAAAGTTTCTATAAGAAACACTGGACTTTGCAAAATTAAACAAGAATTCTTAGCAGAGTGCTATCCAATAGAAGGAGTCCTTGGGTGGCGCTGTGGATTAATGCACTGGACTGCAAAGTCAGTTGAACCACACAGTCATTGGTTTAAGCTCACTAGCCTCTCCTTGGAAACCCTATTCCGTGTCACTATGGGTCAGAAATGACTCGATGGCACTTAATAATAATCCAGTAGAAAGAGTCCTGGTATGAAGCTGTAGGGTAACAATAATCCAAGAGAAATTTCTATGATGATGGACATGTTCTATGACTTTTGGGCAGTTGAAATGTGGGTAAAGCAACTGAAGAACTGAATTAAAAAATTATGTGTTTAATTTTAATTAATTTTAATAGTCACATGTCTACACCATTGGCTATGAACAGTCTTAGCACCTTATCATTCAAAAGTGGATTGTGACTCTTAAAGAGTGAGGTGTGTATGCAGCACTTAGCAAGTATACATACCCCACATTAAAAGGAAAACTATGTCACATGACCAATATTATGTAGAACACACTTTAGGAAATAGTTGTTGTTGTTAGGTGTCACTGAGTCGGTGCTGACTTACAGGGACCCTATGCACAGCAGAACAAAACACTGCCCAATCCTGGGCCAACCTCACTATTGTTGCCACGCTTGAGTCCATCGACGCTGTCACTTGGCCAATCCATCTCGTTGGGGGTCTTCCTTTTTCTCTGACCCTCCATCCTACCAAACATGATATCCTTCTCCAGCGACTGGTCCCTCCTGACAATATTTTCCAAGTATGAGAGATGAAGTTTGGCCATCCTGGCCTCCAAGGAGCACTCGTAAGATAGGAAAAAAATGCAATTGCTTCTCTTCTACCTATTCTATTCCAAGCTGGGTGGATAATACCAGGGTTCAGCAGAAATGCATCTCTTGATATGATTCTGAAGCTGATGCAGTAAAAGGGAGTCAATTATGTAGTACAAGTGTGAATTATATAGGTTGAGAAACAGAAAATTAGAGTTTTAAAAAATATATACCTTGAGTCATTAAGTCTAAGAATTTAGGTGGTTTTTTTTTTAAATAATTAGGATACTGAACATTCTTGATATCACATTTCCCATTTTAAACATTCTCACTCTTATGAATAAATCTGGTGAATTGAAACATTAGTCAGAAGTTGACATTAAGATAGACACAGCTTCCAGTTACCACAGAAACTGAAAACATTGGACAATGAGGTCATGACCCAGAAGAAAAAATGTGACCCAGTCACATTGAACATCATTAATCAAGTCAACTCTGAAATTAACAAAATTGAGCCTAACACCTTCCTCCCCACTTTTTTTTTTTAACTTTTATCACTGAAATCACAAGTTTCAGGCATAGGAAATGGTCTTCTCACTGAATAATAACAAGGTCTGAATGTAGAATAGTGTTGAGAATGAACAAATACTCCTCTCACCAGGCCTCATGTCCACAGCAGTGGGACTCTGCATTCCCTCCTCAAAGGGGATGTCCATTCCTACATCCTCTGGCAACAGTCTGAAAAAAAGCAAACAATGCAAAAAGTTGAGTGGGATTTGATTTTCTTGGAAAGGAAACCCACAGATTCCTGGATCACATTTTAAACTTGCTTAAAATAAATCAAGTACATGTACAGAGTCTCCAGAAAGTAGTCCCCAGTTAGAAGAAAGATTCTGCAGCAAGAAAGATTCTGCAGCTACTGTGGATGAGAACTAGGGACACAACAGAGTCATTCTCCTACTACTGTGCACAAGTAAACACACATCAAGTAGAAATCTCAGCAACTGGAAACCAAACCACTAATAAAATGCACATCTTGTTGTTCTTAAGTGCTGTCGACTTGGTTCTGACTCATAGTAACCCTGTATGGGGTTTCCAAAGAGCGGCTGGTGAGTTTGAACTGCAGACCTTATGATTCAAATTGACCTTGCAACCCAGTGCGTTATTCCACAGCACCACACCAAGACTCCAAAATACACCTTTAAGAAAATTTAATATATAATTTTTCAACCATAAAGATCAGATATGTGCTTTGGAGTGATAACAGACCTGAGTTTCGATACATCTCTTTCCCTAGCTAAATGTAAGCAAATTAGCTACATTTCTTTATTTGTAAAATAGGGATATACCTCCTAAGTCAAAGATGAAGTTGCAAGATGAAGTAACAAATGTTTACGTGTCTAAGCAATAAACAGTCAAGTTCCTGAGAAGTCAAGGAATGTTATTTTTCTTTCTTCCTTGAATATTTAAAGCTTATGTGAATATATGTGGGTGAAAATAGTTTTGGTCATGAATTCTCTCTTCTCTCCAATCAATGCCGAACCTAGAACCATTTATATTAGCCCACTTGGTAAGACAAGGGTAGGAAACTGCTGGCAAAAAATTGTGAAAGTTTTCATACTCTTTTGGGAAACTGACAACTCTCTACAATGAATTCCCATTGATTTATTTCCATCCTTTGATCATTCCCATTTATCATTATAATATATTTGTCTTCTTGGTGACTTCTTTGTAATTTCATTCATCTAGGGTGAATTCTTATGATGTAAAAACTAGTCTAAATTTAAATATGATGAACCTTTGTGCTAAAGTACAAGACAACCTGTGCCAAACAGAGACATACCGTACTAGTTGGGAGCACACCAACTAGTGTACTGGAATTTCCATTTTTCACAATGCTATCTACACAGTCAAATATTTTTGCATAGTTAATATAACATAAGCACACTTATTTCTGGTATTCTCTGCTTTTGGCCAGGATCCACATGACATCAGTAATGATAGTCCTCTTCTGAATCCAACTTGGATTTCTGGCACTTACCTATCAATGCCATTTTAAAATTTATCTTCAGCAAAATTTTACTGTGTGTGATATTAATGGTATTGGTTGATAATTTCTGCAGTTTTCTAGATCACTTTTCTTTTCTTTT